TAATTTGTACATCTATCAAAATCTTTTCACACCTTCAAATCGATAAAAAAACAAATCGTTTTTATCTTAGAAGTTGTTGTCAGTTGGCTTTAAAAGAGTTGAAATTCAGTCGTAATATACTTCAGAAAAACATGAAGACATGCAAATCTAAATACAAATAATTTTACACTTGAGATATGAAAACTTATTATAGAACTTAAAAAATAAAACAAGCTCAAAGAATTATTGGAAATAAAAATTAATCGAAAAAAATTAGAATTTTTTTTAAATAATTTCTCTCACATAAAAATATTGACAGACTTGATGATGTTGTAGAATATTTACTGAAATAAACATTGACATTATTTTTTAAGAAAAAGAGAAGTATTTGCACTTCATAACTCTACTACGTAAGGTTTTGTTTATCAATGATCATTTTTCAATCCTGATGCTGTAAAAAAATACACATAATCCTACTTTGTTGTTCTGTATCCTAATTATGTATAATTTGAATATTGGTAAATGAACTACAAAAGTAAAAAGGTATAAAATGATGAAAAGGAGTTGATGAGGATCAAACACTTACTAGACTAGGATAGATTGCTCATATCTAAAATGTAGAACATACATGATTTTCACCAGTTTAGCTAAGTGATGGTAATTGTTATAATACAAAATTAATGATTTTATAAAATGATTCAATAAAAGAGAGCTTATTTTTCTCATTCAACAAGAGATTTGACAGTAATCTGCTGATTTGTGATATTTTTTTCTCTTTGAAGGGAGCAACATTTGCAAATTTTTTTATTTTCAAATCCTTATAAAATATATCAACAAAAAATATCAAGTACAAAATAAAGAATTTCAAAATTCAAATTCTTTCTAGTCAGTTTTATCAAAGTGTACGAAAGTGTAAAAACTACTAGAAACACGTATCTACTAATAACATTTATTGATGGTGTCTACAAGAAAGAGAAGAATAGGGTGATAATGAGGAATATGAATTATGATTGGATAAGTCAATATTTTTATAAGCCATGCATTCACTTGAAAAATTGCATTGTGAAGAAATGTGAACATTATGCATTCATTGAAAATATTCAAGTTAAATTATGGGCTTAGAATGTAGAACTTAGGGTTGAAGAAAAAATTATTGAGCTCATTAAGTAGTTTCTAAAAAAAATTTAGTAATAAAAGAACCTGGGCCGCAGGGTAGCGGATCGGTCTCACATTACCAATTAAATATCACTTAACAATTCTGTGATTCTGATGAAAAAACATGGATTGTTTTTTCACAACAAAAGTGCACACAAAATTGTACATGATGAACTTATTGTGTGCGCGATGTAAACATCTGAGCAAACGGTGGTGCTTCTCATGGAGAGAAAAACGATAAATAATCCAAGAGAGAAGAATAAGCTTAAGGTTAAAGTCACATAAATAAGGAATAGTTTTCAACATCTTACTTTTCATGTTTTCCTCGTGTAATTCCATAGGTCTTCACTATATATAAATTATTCCAGAAAATCTTCCAACGCTTTGACGCTTCAAAGCAAGGAGATTTCCTTGCTTTAGTTGGCCTCATCTGCTACCAGATACCTAGCCTATCGTCTTTCAAATTCTATACATTACTTTAGAATTGCAACCGTCAAAAGTTGCTTAAAAAGTTACAGAACGACTTTCGCACACACTCTAGACTAACGAGCCAAAATCGAAACCCTCAAAGTTTGCTTTCAGAAAACCACTATCACACATGCTCATCTGTCTTGTCTCCGCTTCGGGCTCTTTTTTTATTTCTTATTCGCAGACTTTTTTTTTATTCTCTATTTCGCAACCTCTTCTTAGTAGCATTTGATGGGATTGAATATTTTTTTTATGTATAGCTCATAAAAATAGCTATTTATATAAAAAAGATGATTACCTATACTATAGCTATTCAAATTTTTTATATTCTTATATCCACGCAATTTTCTCGTATGTAGGTCAGATAGGATAATGAAGAAGTCGATGATGTTGCTATATACAATAAAAACTGAAAATGAAAAAATAAATTAAATTAAATTTTTTCCCCTCACGATGTCATACGAATAGAATAGATCCAAGTCGGCAGCTAGGGAATCGATATCAATGGTAGCCACACTCCTATTACCTTGGGATAGTAGTAGGACGGCCGCTTGTAGAAGTGCGAACAACAATTTTCAATGCGTGCATCGTTGAAAACTTTTAAAAAAAAGTTACAAATCACTAGGGGATCAGATCAAAGGGGATCGATATCAATGATGGCCACACTCTTATTGCCTTCTCATAGTACTGGGACAGCTTTTAGAAGTAAGAACAAAATTTTTCAATAAATGCATCACTCTCGTAATGATTCAGTGCAAATTGATAAGGGGATGCATGTGTAATATGTATATAGATATTATATGTACACAATACCACTCCATACAATATATATTATATTTGTATGCTTACATGTATACATAATACATATATATTCAGTGCATGCATCCAGAACTGATGAAACTAAGGGGGGCAATTCTATTTGTGTTATTCAAATCTGCATGTCGGTTAGTGTTGCCTCACTTTTTATCAAGTGTGCATACTCTATCATACTTCCATGATATACGACTTTGTTATGATTCAGAAATTGATTTCCCTCAATTCGTACAAATGGACTTGGATGAATGCAAGCAGTTGGTGGTCCATTCAACTCCATCTTCATTTTGTCGTCAGAATTGGCGCAGAAAATCTAAATGTAGACTATCTGATTTCCAAGCAATTGTTGTTGCTCAGATTTCCAGTTTTCCGAAGTAGTCAGCATGTCGGCGTTGGTTGGATATTTACAAAAACTAAAATTAGTCATGTCACAATGTTTCATTCGCATTTGAGCTGTATTTCAAGAAAAACGGTTGAATAGTAAAACTATGAACATAATTGAAAGAAGTCAGACCGCACGGGAGGAGATGTTGGTCGGCTAGAAGACTGTGCTGCCAAGTTTCAAGTAAAATGGTTGATTTGTCGAAACACACAGTTCTATCAATGTGAAGTCGATCTCTTGCGATCGAGATAAAGATGACCCTGATATGGGGTTAAGAGGTCTATAAAAGCTGTTACACTGATGCTAGGAGGAGAGAAGGAGGTGGTGAATGAAGGCATGAGAGATTGGTACTCCCAAGAAGTTAGGATGGAAGATACGAGAATTAATAAGACACAGTTAATGGACATTCGAGATAGGAATTGTAAATTGGGCAAGTAAGTAGTCATTGCCACAGATGTAGTGTGTGATGGACAGAAGTCATGTGGCCAGCCTTATAATCTTACAGCATTTGGATGATCAGAAATCCAAAATTAGATTCAAAGACTTCCAAAAAAAAAATTCCTACATAAAAATCATGTGGTGTCCATTTGACTTGGAACTTCTCTAGAATAGAGCTAGGAAAGCAATTTCTTGCATCTTTCTGAAACCTCAAAGTTTAAAACTACGAGGATGGAGAAGATAACCAAGGAGGTCTGGATTGGACGGAGGATAGTTTGCACAGCCAAAGGACCACACAAACCTGCATACTCGAGATTAAGCTACGCTTGATGCAATGAATGCCTTAATGTTAACGTCTTATATATCTAAAGGACGAAAAAGATCAGCTTTTAGCATTAGTAGATATCGAGTCTTAATGAAGTACAAGGAGAGGGTTTAAAGTCTTTTTGATTGTTATATATTAAGTTATATTTGTCACAATGATCTACCTCTTGAATCTCTCTACATTTTAGGAGATTGATGTCATTAAGGAGAGTTCAAATGGCAAACCATCATTACATATCGTTGTGAGAGCAGAGGAAGTATATAGAATAATTTTCTTTTTTTCTCTTTAGAAAATGATTGCAATCTTATTTGAAAGTAGTCAACAAATGAATCCAAAGTCATTCCTAGGTTAAAATACTCGCGTCCGAGAGATCACAACTAAGAACTTTCACATATGCCAATATTACGGTTGCTTTAGTGTAAGATAAAAAAAGATCCACATAATGTCAGCATGCAAGAATTTAGAGACAGAAAAAAGTTGCAAATTTTGTCAATTTCATGATAGTGAAAAAGAAAAATTTTTTGCAGATTGATTAGATTGTGCATCAAGCAATACGTTATTGAAAAAACACTTCCTTCCATCGTTTCACTTACTTCGATGCTTTCTTGTAGTTCTCCCATTCTAGGCTATGTTGGGTAGAATTGTGCTTCTAGTAGTTCTCTTTTCAAAAAGTAACGCTATAGTACTTGGTGTTATCTGTGCGCTGGCACTTCAAGCATTCCTTTTTCGTTCGTTTAAGACCGGCACAAAAACGGCACATCACCGACACCACATGAGATTTAGCGTCCCGTCCACTAATTTGCAATCAAAACTCGAAGGCATGTTGATGTTGAAATGGCTTTTTTTGAGAGTTTCATTGCGAGACATTGTTATCTGTCACGGAAAAAGGAAAGGTAAGAACAAACATATGCAAATTGAACCTATATCTGTCATTGCAAAATACTCGGAAGAAGCAAAAATGCAAAGTTATACCTCTAATCTGTCACAGCAAAATCCACATAAGGAAAAAAAATGCAAAGCGATTCCTCTGATCTGTCACGACAAAGTCGACCTAAGAACAAACTATGCAGAACGAGAACTTGTGCTCTGTCACGACAGAATAAAGTAAGAACCAAACGTGCATAACAAAAACTGGTGTGGCTAGTTTTATTCGAACGCGTGGCCCTTTTTATTTTCGGTGTAGTTAAAACTTGAATAGAATATGTAAATGTGGCGTCTAAAAATAGACTTCCACATCTTAGGAGGCCTGATCTAGATCCAATAGGTTTTAGAAGACTAGCTTTCTATGAAAGTTTACTCGCTGCATATGTTCCCGATATATACATTAGGTTTTGAGACCTGGCGACAGAAATAACATAAATATGTTCCATATAGATTATCCAAAATGTGTCTACACAATGAATGTACTTTTACTTTACCACATTTGCATTGGTGACTACTAAATGGTTTATATTCTACTCCACTTTCAACCTTTGAAACTAGTTTGTGATACAAAGTTTTGACCTCAGACGACGAGGTTTTGGGACTTCACTGGAGTTGCCCATAGCGATTGTAGACCAAGGCAGCAGCCATTCTCCAGCCCGGAAACTATCTGCGGATTTCACGACCAAAAATAACATAAGGGAGAATTCCTCGTCAAGATCTAACATTCGGACTCAATTGGGTGTCCGGACTAGGAAGATATGGCCATCTTAGTGCACTTGCTCGAAACAGACTTTCATCGTAAGAGAGGCTGAATTTCGCAAACAGCTCATGTTTAAAGATGTGAGGAAACTCTATGGTGCTGCAATCTTTTGTGTTTGAGTTTGAAACTCTTCGCTAAGATGCAGATAATTTGGAAGATGATACTTATCGTGGGACTTTCACAAAGGTTAAATTAAAAATTTTAATTTTAATTTTAATTTTAATTTAAAATCATTTAGATGTTCCTGTGACAGTGGACAATCTCTCTGGTTACAATCTAATGTATGTCATGCAAGGACAGCCAGTATCTCTGACAATACACGAAGCCTACCAAACTACGTACAGTTTTTACTTTGATTACAAGACTGCGGTTAACATATGGGATGCTGACCGCCCACCACATTCTCAGCATTATAAATGAAGGAACTATAGATTGTCCCGCTTCGTCTCTATGTGATGGACTGTTATGCTCTGTGCTCTTAAGGCTTTCCCTGAGGCCATCTTTTCGTAGCAGCAGCAGGAAGATACACCAAGAAAGAAGAGCTTTAGTAATTCTTCAATTTGGTAGGAAGGGTTAATCACATTGAGGGAGCAGGAACCTTGTTTGAATAGAAATATTTTAAATATGCTCTGCAGTTGAGCATATTAACTCCTCTCTTATTCGAAGCCAATGCCATCATAACAGTACTGAACTATGCACTATCATAGCCAGGAAGGTGACCTATCAGCCCACTACAAATAACTTATTTAGATCCGATTCTGTATCAATCTATAGCCTTTTATTGCATGATATTCAAAATCCAGGAAATTCTTCAGACTAAGTGCGAACCTAGTAGTGTAGACCTTTCGCATGCAAGCTCATTTAGTGCATGTAAACCTCTAAACCCCGAAACAAAGGCGCTGGCGTTGTCGAGCAGTCCCGATCAGAATATAGTGAGAGGTAGATAGCCCCACGAGTGCCTACTGATGTTCAGAACTTGTGGGACTGTCTAACCCTCACTATATACTCTGAGCCTTCCTTGACAGCGCCCTGCGTTAGTTCGGGCTTGGCGATTCGCTAGAAGAGGATCTCGTCGTCTGTCGCATCAGCCCAAGAGTGTCAGGGTTTGATAAAATCCAGAGTTTGCGATACATCAAGCAAATTCGACGACACTTTCTGTGCTTCTAGTTTTTTGAACAAGAAAGGTAAGGTTTGTGAGAAATGCCTCGATAATGGCTGGAGGATTGCATGAGGAGAGTGTATAGAACGAACATGAATTGCAGCTTCTTTTTCCTTTAACAGCATTGAATTCTCAGAGATACGGTCAATGACGTAATGCTCCAGTATGAATTCAGCAAACACGATGGTATCCGCGTAAAAAGAGACATGCAAAATTCCTAGCTCTGACAGAAAAATGCCGGGACAGATTATTCTACCGCGACAATCCTCCAGGCACAAGAAACAGAAGTTTTAACCTTCTATGAATTGCGTAGGCTTTCCGAACAATTGATAGGGACTATGAAGAGGTTTCAGTGGCAAAGTTTGACACACATCACATTTAAGCACGTTCATCAATGTAGAGACAGCTGCAGTCTAGTGTCAGTATAACGACGAGACGTCCGTATACAGATTTAAAATCTACGTGGTAAGAGTTGATAATCGAAACACTATGTATATCAGTATTTTCTTATATCAGTATCAAGTATGCAAACGTTCTTTGTTGATGACAAGGACAGTGCTCTCACGAAGTACTCACTATCCCATAGCCCGTCAAACTAATACGTACCTTCACCTTTGGCGTCTTCCTGTAACAAAAGGTTGTCTTTCTCAAATATGAAACTCTCGATAATTGTCCGTGTGAGTTATAGGTGGAATGAACACAGGAAGTTAAATATCAATAGCTCATACAATGCATAGCGTTTTCGCCCTTGGGCAGTCAGCAAGTTTGCTCAATCAGGCAGTCCGAACCTAAGTGCCACAAATCCTGTACATGTCCACAAAACAACGGGCCTTTCAAGTTACGCTGACGAAAGTTAGAGTAGATGTTCAACAGGGTGTAAAGAACGGAAGGAGATTCTAGAAAGAAAAACGCGATTAGGAGAAACCTTGAACAAGAAGGATTCAGCAGGTGTGCACACAATGAAAGAATCTGCGCCTGTTCTCTTCCAAACTGCCGGGTTCTTGAATCGCCCATTCGATATCTGCAGTCTGATCTTGTTTTCCACTCACTGCTGTCGAACTTCTTGTGAGTGGAGTAATTCAGGAGAAACCAGCAGCAGGGGCAATGGGCCAGGAGCCAAAAAGAGAGGACGGGGAACAAATGCGGAACTACTCTTGCAACCAGGAAATCTTTGAGCTCATTGACATGTACTGCTTGTGACATTGAGCGTTCTCCACAAGGCACTGAAGACGTAGGCCAACCCAAGGTAGGAATGAAGAGTCGATCAATTCACCTGACAGGTATGAGGTCATTGAATTGCAGTTCTAGCGCTCTGCTCCCTCCTTCGCTATTGCTCTGTCTCGCACACTGATGGACGTCGATCTTCCTCAGCCGACCAGTGCCCACAGTGTCACCATTGCCTCCTCCCTTTCCGTCGTCTTCCGCATTCCGCCAGCTGATCACATAACGTGGGTAAGTCTGACTGAGCTTTCAAGAGACTGGAAAATGTCGACTGCCTGTACCATGGCCAAAAATCAAGCGATCGGCTGTCGGGGAACACGAAGACATCGTCTACGCTCTACGGATTCTTCGTCTCATCCTTCGGTCCGCATGCACATCGAAGCTGCACGGCTCTGCACGGGTCCATGGAGGACACTCGGACTAGACGGTCCACGTCCCGCTCCTGGAGTTCTCCCTAGCGATAATCAGCGCAGGGTGGATGTCGACACTACCCGAAGAGTCGGCACTTTCACTCTTCCGATGTCGGCACTGGGTCCTTTTAAGGCTCCATTATGTCGTCACTGTGTGCGTTGAGCATTCATCCAGTCATTATCGTTCGATCGTCCGCAGAAAGTGTCGTGACCTGTACCGCGAACGAGCACGTACGTATAAATAGTACACCAGACCAGTACAACCAAAGCTCTCAAGGCTCCCATTCAATGTAGCTGTGGTAGGGAACCGCTTACTCTGGCGCGGTGATTAGATTGGAAACTGAATAGCTGTGGTTACGTTCGATGCATAGTTTTCTACACGAGGTTCCGTAGAAGAGGCTGATTCTGTCGTTGTAGTTGTCAAGTGTAAGTGCAGTACATTCCACGGATGCCGCTTAGTGGATTGGAAATCCTTGTGATTTGTCGCAATTGACTCCGGGATCATTTTTCTAGCCACTTCTGGTCCGCGCGTGCCGGGGAAAGTTACGGCCGTGTGGAATGGCAGTGGCGAGAACATTGAGCTCCAGGGGTCTTGACTGTTGACTTTGATAGGCGGGCAAATACAGAATTGAGTTGTTTGTCACAGTGAGGACGTCATGGACGCAATTTTTCTCCCGGAAGTCTCCTTCTCGGTTTTCTTCCTTAAACCTGTGGATCTGATACGGCAACAGCTTTAAGGAGAAAACCGAACGGGAAACTTCTTAAGAATACTTGTGCACAAGAGCCTGTGAAAATTTGGCACTTGATTCTCGACGAGATCAGCTGAATTAGTCCTCATGCTAATTTCTGTCGCTCTTTTGGTTGACATCTTCAATTTCATGGAAGAGGACTTCAGCTCAATTCGATTGATTCTAATCTCACAAAGCTAAACAGGGATCATGCACTTCAGATAGTGTCACTTCCATATTGCTTGCTGGAGCTGTTACATATTTTAACGCAGTTGTAATTTTTCTATTTTATGATCGGTGTCATATCTCAATTGAATTGTGTCCACTTGCGCTGCAGATGGGCCATGTGAGGAGTTCCTGACGACGGTCCGGTTGTGTGTTGTAGTTTTGGAGGTGGATCTGCTTTTCTCATAACTTTCTTGCGTCAGCAGGCTGCATTACATCTCTGTTTCTTGACAACAGACAGAACGTTGCAGAATTTATAGCTGACATGTGAAGAGTAGACTCCGATTAGTACAGAGGTTTCGATGATGTGTGTAGCGGGAGGAGTTGAGGTTGTCTATTATTCCATATAGAAGTGAACGTAAGAAATTTACTTATCGAAGGTGGCCTACCCATCTCAAAAGAGTAGTGGGTGTACGTGACATGTTACAAATATTGCAGTACGTCCGTATATTAGGACTGCAGAGGTCTTCCTTGACGGGTTTTGAACACGCGAAGGACACACAGAGCTCGTAAGAATCCTGGGAATCTCGAAGTGCTAGAGTATCAAGGCTCTGATTTCTTGAGATCACGATCTTGGAACTAGAGTAACTGATTAGAGGCTGAAGAAAGAAGAAATAAGTTGTCACCTTTGACTTCAACGTGGCAGCTCAATATGGAGATAAAGCCCAATCTGCCGCAATTTCCTCCTCACAGAACGCATTCGAAGCTGCGGGCGTGTGCTGACTTACTTCAGGAAGAAGATCCCACAACTTCAGTACGAAGAAGAACCAGCCGAAACACCGTTATTTATCATTAAATCCAATTCTGCACTTGGGATTTATCTCCAGATTGAGCTGCAACTGTTCGCAAAATACCTGACCAGTAGTCTTCCTAAATATCATTTGAAAGTCAAGCATAATTCCATTGTGTGCGTGGAAGTATAACATTATCTATGAATGGTATATGAGAAAGTTAATCAGAGTTCTTATATACGAAGTATGAATGTAAATGGCTACTCCACATTTCCACGCGCAGTTGCCAATGGAGCTTTGTGAACATAAGGTATTGCTAATTGTCTTTTAAAAATCAAGAAATGAGGAGCGAAGTATATGTAAAATTTATGGGGTAAACTCTATCTCCTCATAGAAGTGCGAGACCAAATAGGTAACGAGAGGCTAGTTCCAGTTAAATAGAAGTCTTAATCTACTTGAAAATTGACGTACATGTCAAGTCATTTCAATTGAAATGAATGTCATCTGCTTTGATCAAAAGAGATGTGACATACAACTAAAAAAAATTGGAGAAGGTGCAATGAACTCTGCTATTACGTTCTGTTTGAATGAAAATTTTCGTATATCTAGGTTAAGCGGATCTGTGCCTTAGTTGAAAAGTATAGGGTCTAATAATGATTTAAAAAAACTTTGTTGTAAGCTACCCAAATTGACACTGATTGTGAACTGCAGATACCATATCAATGAGAGCACATAGACGGAACTATTTTGCATATATCATATCAATGGGAGCACTTAAACGGAACTATTTTGTTGAGAATGACTTCGACCAACTAGTTCAACTACTATATGTTTACAATTTGTTGGTAATCAAATCAAATGAAGAATTGCATTGGCTAGATCGATAACTGTCGGCAAAAAAAAATTGGCAAACATTGCCAATTTTTTGCTGATTAAAAAAATTTTTATATCAGTTTTGCACTCCGATAAGCCCATTGCAATCAATATTTCTCGCATCGTTACTCTGCGATCTCTTCAAATTGCCACCATTGTAAAGTGTGGCTGTTTTTATATGTTTATAAGTTTTAAAGTTTTCCATAATTTAATGGAATGATCACAAATTGTCTATTTTTTTTTATCGATGAAAATTCCAACCTTGATGAAACTTTAATTGTAAATCTCAAAAGAGATTTAATATTTGGCATACAAAATTAATCCTTAAATATTTATTATTTCGAATTACTCCAGAGGAAATAAAAACATCAGTTATGCCAATCAAAATTCATTTTATTTCAAGAGTATGACTATTAATGAATTGATTGTATCAGTTTTTTATCAAGATTTTATGCAAATATTTGAACCCTTAATAAAACACTTTGCAAATGTACTATCTTTGAATAAACAATTGCATTGGGAAAAAAATATTATAGATTGTGCAAATTTTTAAAAAACCTCAATGAAATTGAATTTATTTTCATATTATCATCATTAATTGGTCGAAATTCAAAAAATTTCATTTTATTGAAACTAAAATAGTCAAAAGTTTCAAAAGTAGTTTCCAAAGTATTTGTGTATCAAAACAAGATTTTGAAAGGAAAAAGGTGAGTTATAAAATGCAATCATATTTATAAAATTTATAATTCATGTGCAAAATATAAAAATTAATAATTCCATCATTCGAAATTTTTTTTAAAAGTTTTTTTTTTTTACTAATAATTTTAACTAAAAATACGAATTTTTTAAAAAAAATTCATTAGAAAAAGTTCAAATATAAATCTTCAAATAGATTTACCATTATTAGAATTTTTTATTTTTTTTTCTAAATCTTAAATCCTAAATCTCTTTGAACACATGAAAATATGCATAGTTAGCAGATGTTAGTAATTATGAATTAATCAAATATGTTAAACAAAATTTTAAAAGATAAAAGCTAACATAAAAGATATTAGCCACATTAAGCTAGTATTCCAGAGAATTTTACCTAATAGATTAGATTTTTAAAATATTTGTAAAGATTTCCAAATGCTAAGTCACCAACATGGTTGAATATAAATTCTAAAATAAAATATTAATAACTATGCTTGTTTGAATCTTGTTGTTAATTTCAGTCAACCCATTAGCAAATTAATCTAATATTTTTTTTCTAATACTCTACGATCTGTTTGTGAATCGACAATCATTACTCGCATATTGACAAGTTTTATGTACAGTCTAGATATAAAATGAATAGATTTTTTTTCCATTTTAAAACTAAAAATGATAATTATAAAAAAATTTCATTTTTATTATTATGTATGTGCATGAATACTAAAAATATTATTATTGAAAAATGTATGAATATTTTTTAATGAATGAAATTTAATTAATTTTGGAAAAATTTCTAATATTTAGAAAAAATATTGTTTAATATTTCATTTTTGTACATAGATTTGAAAGTTTTCATTTTTCGTTAATTTAAATTTTTCATTTTCTATCCATGAAAATTGCAAGTTTTCATTAATTGATCTTAAATATGACACTTTAACTTAAAACTAGAATATTCAATGTTAGCAAAATATATTTTATACGATTATTTATCTTTTTTAATTATATATTTTTTTGGAATCTTATGAATTTGATGTAGAAAAATACTACGTTTGTAAGTATTTTTTAAACATTTTATCAAAATATCATTAGCCAAATTAATTTCCTTAATTTTTTTGACTCATATTGATTAAAGTAAAATAAAATATACTATTAACACAATATATGTAAAAAGTTATATAATTATTATAATTTCTTTCATTTAAATCTGACTCTATGCTTATATTTATGTCCCAATGAATCTTCACATTTGATGACATCTCAACTAGAAAAATTCATGAAAATACAATCATTGTCACTAAAATTTATCATTCTATCATAAATGATTGTTCATCTCTCACAATGAATTGAATATTCTTAAAATAACATATAGACTACAAACATTTATTTTATACAAGCATGAACATTTGCTTGAATTTGTAACAATCAAAAGTTGCAGGAGGCAAGATATTCTAAGTACACATAATCAACATATATGTGAATGCTTCAACCCGTCTGGGACACCTAGTGGAAGAGAAGGCAACCTTCTTAGGGATGAGGCTCTTACTTTACGAGCAGCAGAATTCTTGATAATGATATAATTGTCTTTAATCTAACAGCAGCAAACTTCTTGTTACTATGCCACACATGTGAAAACTAATAATTTTTAAGCAAAAAATTATCATCAACAGCAGTTTTCTTAACTTTCAACTATTTTCTCAAAAAATGTCCGATGATAAATATTAAAACATTCTAAAAAAATTTAGATTATATACATGATAGATGCAGCAACGCACTTCTGTATTATTGTTGAAAAGAATCATTATGCTTTGGTGTGGGATCATCACAAGCTATCATATGTCTATGATATCTAAAATTTTTATACAATAATAGAAATAACAGCATGTAATAAAATACAAAATGATATGGTTCATTTTTTAACTATCTTAATGCACCAAACATATGAAATTCTTCACTGGATAATTTGGTTATAATTCAAAATATACATCTTAAAATATCTGTAGGTTCCACTACATTATATTAATAAATCATATATAATTTACTAGATTTACCCAAGAAAATGCAGTTATCACTAACAAAAATTTACCAACTTAATTATCACATAAGTCAATTCTTAAGACACTTTTTACATTTGCAGCTTCAAGTTGTTTTGATGATACTAGAGATCACAGAAGTAAGTTTTAAATGCACATTTCACACTTGCAATAATTTTGTTATATTTTGATTTATTTCCTATTATTCCGCCATAATTATAATTATAATTATATATATATAGCATTTTCACATATGAAATTATACATGAAGGAGATGAAAACATATAAAACGTGGTCTATCACACATTTTTTTAGTAAATCGTCATAAAATGAAGTGAAGTCTACCGCTAATAGATAAAAAATGATGAATGCACGAGACACTCCATACTGTCGGTCTTGGAAAACGTTGACTCATAACCCCACAAGGCTAGAAACTAACTATCGAAACTCTCGAAATTCAAATTCATTCGCAGTTATATATTTTAACCGCCATGATATTTCTGATCACTTTTCAACGGAAACACGAGATTGGAGAAACAAACCATATTTTTTGGTCAGTTCTAAAATAGCATCAAAACAATGTCATAAATGATTACCAAATTTGATTTTTAACCTTCCCATTGGGCATGTGTATTTTAGCTTTCAATCCGCAAGCAATGAGATATTTTTTGGTAATTTATTATATGTTAGATTTAGATACGAGTGGAATTGAAAACATATATATATTATTTTTGATGTCCTGACTTTCAACAATTTTTTTTTTCATTCAGAGATCTAGTGAGCAGAGGAAATCGTTACTAAGTTGGAACATATCTGAAGGCAAACCCTCGGTCAACCACGAGTGACCAAGGCTGGGCAACTTCATTCCTGGACCGATCTGAAAGACACAGAGGGACACTTCGAGCGGTTCCTGCATGTCTGACCGTCTATCGTTGGAACTATCTCTTCATATATACATATACACACACAGAGGTCCGCCATGGAAATGCCTGATGTCATTCCACACAATATCGCCACTGCTGCCCATCTCTAATAGATGCTGATGAAGGATGGGTGACAGATTTTATTTTCTTCTCTTCCTTGCAAGAAGAAAGCATCTTGCAGTTGACAAATTGTCCTTCGACAGCCATTTACTCGGACTGGTCCAATTGAACGAATTACCATTACCTTGCAGTACTTTTTCTCCCTGGCTCCACCAAAAATGGTGGTCACAAAGTGTTCGGCGGCCACACACATCTGTGGTGGTGTGGTTCCGAGATCCTTAGACTGTCAGTGGAAGCTTCCACTTCTAGCTCTTTGCTCAGGCAGAATTAGGGCTTTTACACCGACTCTTCTTTGTCTAATCGTTAGCGTTTGTTTCCACTCTTTTCTGCGTGGAATGCGCCCTGATCATTGTTCTGTCGTTCACGTTCGAGCTTGTATGGTGGTCTTGAACAGCGTTTCGTTGTCTTGGGTGGTGCTCAATGTGACGCACTTTGTTTAAAATTCTCTTTACAATGCCGACACCCACCTGAGTAAGGGACGCGTGGACTTTATTTTACGCGGCAGACTTGTTTGGCTAATTTCAGCGAGCAGTGGCGGTGAGTAAGCTGTTTGTCTTGCTGTTCCATTCTAGTATAGATTATGAATAGTGCGCTCGGGAGTAAGGAAGCTGAAAGGCACTTGGAGTTTCTATACTCGAAGCGATTGCTAATTATTCGTGCTGTAACTCATGCAGCTCATGAAGAGTGTCAAGGAAAGTCACGAGAGCGCTGACATTTTTGTGCTTGGTTTTGTTGCTTGATAACCGATATCGTGACTAGACTGTCAGTTTAGCGATTACACAATATCTGAGCATAGATATTCCAGGTTGTGTGGTGACACAGCTCTCGTTGTGAACGAAAATCGTGCAATTGAGACACTTCTCTCTGGTTATATGTTCTTCTTGCTCACCTAATGATTCAGAGTTGGTCTTGCGTACAAATGTCTATAGCACTGCTTATGCTTAGTCTGTACAAGGTATTTTCTATCAACTCGCCCCATCTGCAATATGTTTTTGCTGAAAATTCATCTTCCTTAATTGAAATTTGTTCTCGTGCTACGCATCTGCACGCTGCCAGCCTCGTACGATTCTTTAGAGTCGACGTGAACATAATATTTGAGATTGAAATGTCTAAATATAATGATTATTCGCTAATTTCCGACCGGGCATTTGGTCTAGTGGTATGATTCTTGCTTTGGGTGCAAGAGGCCGCGAGTTCGATTCTCGCAATGCCCCCTCTGAGACTCCTTTTACACATAGTAAAAAATATCTTACACGAAAGAGATGAGTGTACGGATTTGCGTTTGCGTTCGGTGGACTATCATTCTATTCAAGCCGCAGCGAGTCACAGGTGTTCTTTTGCTGTTTCTCCAATCTTCCAACGAAAGCCACTGCTGCTGTGCTTCTTCTAGACGATGTTGACTACTTTTAGATGCGCTCTGTTCTTCCAAAACGTATTTAAAAATTTCTTCTGCATGTCAACTTCAATACTTTTACTGAATAGCCGATTTCGTGTATACGGTCGCATGCCTCAGCCTCTAGGATGGTGATCATGAGGTAAGAATCGAAACTCAACACAAGCATGTCGTCGTTTCTCATACTTTAGAATGTTTGCTAAGAGAGTGTGATCGTAAGAGTCTTGGTGCACTTGAACCTTTTTAGGATGGTTATCATATAAGCTTTGCGTCTATCATTCAGGAAATCTAACAAACTTATCTCGGAATTTGAAGTTTATACCTGGGATGTGGTAAAGTTACATTCCTATGAAGAAAACTAGGGGATCTGGTCTGATGTTTTGATTCTTCCTTTGGGTGCAAGAGGCCTGCAATTCGACCTTCTATGCCTATATGCAACCGTGGTTACAGGATTATTTAGAATTTACTTGAAATGGTTGTGAATATTGTAATAAAGTCGATATTTTCGTTCGGAAATGGTTGTAACCTTTGTGTTTTGAGGTTTTATGAGATCCTCGGCATTTTACCCGACTCCAAAACTCATTCTATAACATGTTCGGCCTTGATTTTAGACCCAACTCAAAAATGATTAATGTGGATTGGAAGCAGTAAGAAGATTGTTCTAGTCATGGTGCGGAACTACCATTTTACTCAATTTCGTGCGGATATTCAAAACGAGCTAAACTATTCAACTCGTCGTTTTCATCATCACCATGCATGAGATTTGAATAAATGGGATGAAGCGATGGTGGTTTGAGACCACAAGGTTGAGAGAGATGAGATTGGATGAGATGTGATATTATCCCATATGTAGTTGCGTGGATAATTTACGATATCATTCAAGATCACTTCTAAAGGTTTTTTTTTTTATCATTGGTCATGAGTAGAAAAGAAGCTATGATAAGTCTAGATTGAAATAAAATAATTCACAAAATCAACTTGCTCATCATATCATGTCCAAGTTAATAAATATCTTAATATAGTCAACGGCTTTCTCTATTTTTAATATCACTGGCATAAGTGTGTACCTTTTAATTGAAATAAATTAATAATAAACCATTGAGAGAATGAATTTTTTGAAAAATTAACAAGATGATTTTAACAAATAAATTCTTACAGTTTACAAACTTAGATATATTACAAATAAATGTAAGTATAGAAAAAATATCCAGCATTTAGCAAAAAAGATACTCGAACTATAATTTTATGTTTAGGTCATAACAATGTGAATTATTTTGATTGTCATGTTTATCATGAATATTTGCAATGAGATATGATGAACTAATCGATAGCATCATCATAATCTGAAAAAAAAACACATAAATAAACAGAATGATGGATAAACATAAAAATATAAAGCATTGTTGATACATATTGATCAAGTAATAAATTCATAATGAATTTGATCAAAATTTAATTGCATGGAATGTATATGTCATTGTTTAATATCTGTTCCATCACATCTATTAAGTAGTTTTCCAAAAATTCATAAAATCTTGGTGTTGGATAAAATATTATTTTTTCAACAAAAATTCAATTTTTTCATCCAAGCCTTAAACTCAATGACTCTCAAAATTAATCAAACAAGTCAAATGTGCATTTTTATTAGAAAAAAATGAATTTTAAAACTCTTTGATTTTTGCGTTGCAAAATGTTGATTCAGCCTTCAAAATTTATTTTTTTTGAAATTTTTTGCTTTTTGAAATTTTTGGCTTGATTATTATTACAAAATTTTAAAGTCAAAGAATATCATTCATGTTAAATCTAAAATATTATATATTTAATTTAAATATTAAATAGAATAAGCGTAAAATATTTAATAAGTATGTAACTTTATAAATATTTAATATCATATATATATATATATATATATATATATTGAAAATTTTATGCCTGCAAATATTTTGTGCACAACTTTTATACTCACGTGAAGATGAAATTTGATGTTACTTTGATCTTTTGAGATCATTGAATATATTAAAAAATGATATTGAATATAATTATCATCGCCTTTATCTTAAGAAGACTTTTAAGTCTGCTTTGAACAAGATTAGCTTGTTTTATTTTTTACGAACAGTTTTGAATTATATTTTTAGATCCTTTTATATATTATTGATTTAGGGTATGAAAGCTTTTTGAGTTTTGATCTTGGTTAATTTTAAACTATTCATTAGCTTTTTATTGACTCATAAATAGTTATTTGTTTTTTGCTTTGGAGTTAATATTTTTAAATTTTTTTTAACAATATTTTTAAAATTTAAGTCATCATTTCCGCAACAAAAGCAAAAACGATTGTCGCACTTGAGTAATTAAATTCTAGTGAAAGCAAAATTCTAAAGACCAGCTGGGCGGCAAGGAACTTGTGCGCACATATATATATTAACCAAAAAATTAAAGAATATAATTTTATTGTTTTTGTTATATGATGTTATGTTGAAAATCTGCACATCAGACTCTAAAATCATCGAGTCATCTCATCATAGTTAACTTTAAGGAATTCATATCCAAAATGTTGCATCTATCAGATATTAGTATATTTTTCATATTCCTATCTTTTTAAAAATATAGATGATTCAATATGACCATCACATCAGTGCAATACTTGTGTTTAATTAGCTTGACCTTGATGTAGGAATCTTGTAGCTCTTATCATGACAATGTTATACCAAGTTATGTTAAACGTGCAACAAAGTAGTTGCATCATCCGCTAGTTCTATATATATATATACGTGCATTAAAGTCTCCAACAAGAAAAACTTCACATTTGTCTTGATATTTGAAAACATATCCTATGAGCCGATAGAATAGTTGACTTCGATTGCAAGTGCTTGTGGAGTAGATCTTGAATTCTTGACGATTATAATATAGTTACGACAATTTCGGCTGAAAACACTTTGACATCAAAGGTGAGTATGAAAATGATATCGATTAATTAACAATACATATTATATTTGAAGTAAACAAATATCTTTGATTTAAATTGTTAAAAAAATAAAACAAAATCAATTTGATGTAAAATTTTATCTAGAAATTGGTGTCCTTTTCATTGATCATTTCCACATCAAAATATGTACACTAGCCTCATATATTGCAATTTGTAAATGGTATTGTGATAGGATCTGTTATATTCCATTGAAAATAATTATTATTACATTGTATTCATTTTATCTCATGAAAATTTGAGCTCATTTTTACTTATTTCAATTGTCAATCTAATGAATTTATATTCTGATATCTGTTCCATTAATAAAACGTGCGAAAAATTTTAAATATCAATATTTGGCTCACACTTATCTATATTGAATTAAAAACATTTTAAATTTACATATATATCCAAAAGTTGGATACAATTAACCCTCTATCTTAAAAAAAGCTAATTTTTTTTACATTTGATCAAAAACTGATATGTGAAAAGTTGGATACCAAAATCAAAAAATGTCAGTCCATGCAAAATTGTAACAATGTAGTTACAGTAATGTGCTACTTGAATCAACAGCCGATATTTTTTTTTCAAATCTTAAAACCAAATCACAATTGTAACATATTGCTTATAAGCTTGCAATTTAGATATTCAACACGATTACCACTTTATATAATAGCTGGTAGGTTGTATATATAGCATGTATCTGAATTGGCATAAGCTCAAAGAGAGGTAAAACATAATCGACTCGTGTGCATGCATTTTATGGGTATTCTTCATTTCAGACGTTCAGTATTGAACGGTATAATTCAGTCAAGACAATATGCTATTTTAAGGAATATGGTTTTATTTCTGTATATACTGTAGTAGCTATTGTCAGACTTAAGAGAGCAATCACATAAAGTTTTGTAATGTCTAATGCTCGTATATTTTCTTAACCATTTGTCGATGATATTTCGGATATTTTAAGCGTATGAGACACTATGTCATATTGATGTTCTTGAAATCTCCAGTAAATCGTTTTGCTTCTTTCCTGTGTTTCTTGATGATTGATAATTATATTTTTCCATTTACTTGGCAATGTTTTGTAAGTATAATGTACATGAACAGAGTAGTTGGATAGGCTTAAGTTGCTTATATTGAAATAAAAAGGAAAAAAACCCCGATCAATGATTTGTCTGGGAAGAAATAGTCCTCACAGACTTTGTCAACCCTCGAAACTAATTTAAAAAAAGAATTCGAATCGCAGTGGTGTCGAACTTAATAAGAAATATTCTTCAAACACTGATGAGCATATGTCGTCGTATAAAGGATAGTGGTTACACTGACATCTGTTCTAGAAAAACTTGGTCTGATCATAACTTTAGTTATTTCAAATTATCTGAAAACATCATTGAAGGCAATATTTTTTTGAGTAAATGCAAGCACAAGTTATTTTATATTTTTACGTCACATGCATTCATTTGTCTAATGATTCCGGAAAGTTGACTGAAGAAGTCATTTGCATTCTCAGATTAGTGTGAATAGACGTTACCAACCCATCCAAGAAAGATATGAACCTGTATGAGCTTCAAATTTGAAGGAATCGGGATTGAGCTCCCATCCCAGGCAGGCTTCACACGGAGACACATGGTGTTTTCCAAGTTTATAATACAGATAGTAGTGAAGAGATCTGCCTTGAAAGAGAGGAATGATCCTACAGATTGAAACATTTTGAGTCCTAAATCAAATCACTAGCAATTTTTACAATACTAATCTAAAATACTTCTCATCGATAGTCAACTTTCCTGTCAATGACTGGATTGAGGTGGGAACTATTTATTCATTTTTGTTTCTGTTATAACTACAAGTACCTCGTATATTGACATCTCGTAAAGTAAAGGCGAAAGCAAAATATATAGATCCAAGTGATTAGATTGTACAAAGCAGTGAGGGGCATTTATACATATATCACATACAGTTGTTGAAACCAGCTTTTAAGAAACCAGTCACGGGTGATCTAACTTTCTCTTAGTTCCCAGTTAATCAATACGATCGGTATCGTGCCATGGAAATTGCTAAGTGTTAATCTTCTGACCATTGCCATATTTTCAATCTGTATATACCTTTTGAAGATTCAGTCAATCACAGCTATGTACCTTGCATCATTAGTTCACAAAGTAGGTAGCTGCTATCCGAGTACCGGGCAGGGACCATTACGATCAGGAGCTCAAGTCTGGTCAATGTCGTCGTCTCCAAGGAATTATCAACCACGGCCATCATCACCAAAGCCAACACTCCTACGTCCAATACTTTCGACACCTCCGTGTTGACTACCGTGTTGACTACCTGGTCCACATGCAGAACCACTCACCACTCCACACGTATTTCCACCGCAAGTAGTACCCGAACAGCTCGCAGCTGAACACAGAGTGCCAGCCATATCATGTCCGGTATTGGTGTGCCACCTTTCGTATAAAAGTTTTGGCCGCTCTTCTCTGGGGTAGATCATATTCCAGCGACTAGAAAGCCCAATGTTGTGCAGAACAACAGCTCCTGCAATTATCAGGTATGGAGACTATCAGCTGACTATTTCGTATTTCTTTGAAGATTGAATAAGTCTGAAATAAAAACATTTAGAAAACAACTAGTTTGAAGGTTACAGGTTTGCCTGAAAAGAAATAATTTTATCGACTGTGAAGGAATTGCTTAGACTGTCCTAAGCATAACATGAATGTTCTTTGACGTTTCCTGCGCACATCTAATAAAAGCAGGAAATAAATCTTACCCATGTTGCCTCCATTCGTTGTACCGAGTTTTGGCAAAGTAGTGTTTTGGACTCGCCAATTTATGGTCGGGTCAATGGCGTGCTTAGAGTCGAAATCGTAAAGTGACCGATATGTGGCAGCACTGATCAAAAGCGCCAGCACCACACTCTCGCCCGGCATGACCTGAAGAACAATTTCAGAAATGATGCTCAGGCTCAACATTGAAGATGAACTATAATATAATATTACTTTGCATGCCGCATGATGCCTGTGAGTGTTAGGAACTGTAACCGCATACCGCGATTGAGCCTGCCTTCAAATTGATTAGAGCAGTCGCCAGACCCAATGGAGAGTCTGGGGTGTACCGGACCAAAGTCAGGGTGGATGTCATCTGCATATCATTGGTTTCCTCGAATTGCAACCTTGCACCTGGTATTAACCTCATCTGCGAAGGGAAATTAAAAATTTCAGTGGTACGTATATATCATACAGATTCCTTTGACGCTATCAGATGGACCAAAATCGGAAATTGACTGCAAGTAGTATGTTATTCACAACGAATATTGTCATGGCATGGCATGGCATATATTTATTGGGCTAGTCGCATCCTGGCTATACGCGAATGGAGTGTTAATATCACTAGCTCTGTGTAGTTTTAATCCTGATTTATGAAGAAATCGTCTGCAGTGATGGATGTTTCGAGCTAAAAGTTGCAAAATCATACCCGATATGGTCCACACTCGCCATATATTTTTACTTTTAGCGCCCTGTTTAACATTGGTCTATGAACAGCAAGAATTGCTGCGTCTTCGAACAATGACCATTGTTGGATGTCCTGGTTATCTGACTTCTTGAGCTGCAGAGCAGAGCCCAGTATCTTTCCTGTCGATTTGAATGCAATAAACTTCAGCAGACCGAATACAACCAAGTGACGCACAAGTTCCACAACAAGGAACTCTATAGAAGAGCTTTCGCGTCTCATCATATTGACTTTGGACCCGGACTCAGCATGCAACGTTGCAAACTCATTCACAGACTCATAATGGGCTCCTCTGAATAATTCCTTACAGCTCTTACCTTGTTTGAAGTCTTTGTAAGCTCCGTTATGAACATTGATCACCGCGGGCTCTGGATCTTTCTCCATATCTTCTGTTCTTATCATTGGGCTTGGTCCCGAACTTTGAAGAGTCTCCTCGCTTCTGTCAAAGTTTAGACGTAATGTCGATTTAGTACAGAGTTGCTGAATTGCTCTGATCTTGTGGCGACTGAAGGGGACGACTCTCAGAAAGAAAGACTTTTGAGTGTCGTATAATGCACAAAAATAATTTCCTTTGGAAACCACAAACTGAAACACTTACTTCGTTCTAAGAACGAACATCTCTTGGCCAAGATGGTTCACAACAATCTTAGTGATCCATCTACCGACTTGAGGTGTGTTTGTCTTCTTATTTCCAGGAGCTTCTCTGAGTCGCAGGGCAACTATCTGGCAATTGTCGTCAGTCACAGGAGATTGCACGAATCGAAAGAGCTTTGGGGCAGAGATGGGAGGTGTCAAGGACACGCTGTAGTGAAGGTGGGGAACAGGGCCAGAAGATTGAGCACCAGATGAAGTTCTGGCATAGAAAACCGGGCACCATTTGGTGTCAGAGAGCCCAGTTCTTGCCCTCAAAAGCTCGGGCCACGTAAGGTCCAGCTGGCCGAGTATCTCGTCAGTTCCAAAAGGATCTAAGATTGTTTCTTCATGATTATCTGACTCATGGTCCACTTTCTTTTCCTTGGCATGTCCCCAGCTAATGCAGCGAATTTGTCCATGAGGCTTTTTCTCAGTGCATCGACGACGAAACTTCGAGCGCATGAGCTGCAGCCGTAGTCCGTGTGTACTCGATTCAGCTTCCAAGCTTAAGCCCTCGTTCCATTCCACCTCATCGTAAACTCTTTGGAACTCCTTCATGCTCGTTCTGACATCCAGAATTGGGCACTTTGCAAGGGCTGTCACACGGACGTAGCATTGGTTTACGGTCGTCAGATCCGATGATCTTGGAATGTTTTTCGCTCCAAGCAGCACCAAGTTAACCTGGAAGATGTCCACTCTATCTCTCAGAATATAGAAACTTAATCCACCATCATCGCATGGTGCATAACAAAACCCACATCTCGAATGTCGATGACATGAAGCTCTGAATTCATGCCCCTTGTTTACTAACCCGGAATGGAATTTGAGTGTAAGATGGAGTAATGCTAAGTGAGCTTACCTGCATAACTGATCTGCTATCCACGTCGTCGAGTTTCAGTGAGCTGCGCTCGATGTTCAAGGTGGCGGTGAAGGAGTCCGTGTTCCATCGGCCTTTTTTTGTCAAAGACAGCAGCTTGCTCTCTTCATCTTCCATGAGAAGAGGTATGGGAGGAGCTGGAATAGGAGCTGGACCTCTGTACATGCCTCCGGCCTGCTCATAGACTCTGCCAAAGGTCCGGAACCAGGTCTCACATGTGTCAGCGAAGCCGTTACTGAGCTTCTGCCCTGGGGTCCGGTCGTTGACGGTATCGTCATGTTCCAGCAATCTGCCAAGGAAGAGTTTCATGTCGCTGGCGTAGGAAGATGGTGAAAGCTGATGAGTATGCCAGAGAAGATCGATGTCGTAGGTTGGGACGAAGAAGGGTCTCTGCCCATTTTCTGCTGGTTTTTCTTGGCTTTTCTTGATGAGGTACAGGAAGCCCTTGTACCTCTGGAGAGCTGTTCCCAAAAATCTCCTGTCCCAAAACCATTTTGCGCTGACCTGGTGTGAGTTCAAAATTCAGTTATGAGGAATCAGTGCACAATTGTAGACATCTTCAAAAACTGGACGCTACGCAACTCACTTAACACAGAAAGAAATGGGGAAGTTCATTCAAATCAAGACTCACTTTCAGTCGCGTATCTATTTTAATTTTATAGAGGGAGAGATAGCAGACTACGATGTATATCACGCGAAAACTGATGTACGCATTTGCTCTAGCTGTGAGCTTCTGAAATCTATGTGGTATAATTTCAAGCTATCATCGGTCTCACTGGTTTTTACCAGTGAGACCGATGTGAGACCCTCTGCTTACTTATTACAAAATCGGAAATTTCAGGCAGCAGTAAGCATCTTATAACAAGCAAAAGTGTTGAATCAGTCTTTATGACTAACGCTGACCTGATAGTAGAATGGAAATTGTCTTTGGGCTGCAGCTATCAAGTCGTAACGTAAGCGTCCTGGATTTATTCGATTCGAGCGTTTATTGTTTAACAGCTCCTGAAATTCAGGACTGTTTCCATCTTCGAAGGGTTGGACGAAGTGGTATGGCTCATCGGGATAAGCAGTCTCCCACCTCTTGATTGATTGTCTATCTGCGTACTTTCGAAGCTCAGAATCAGATGGCTCCTTACCGGGCAAGGCTTTCACATCTAGCAGTTTGCCGAAAATGTGCTGACAGTCATTGACGTACTGCACCTGTGTAGCAAAACTACAATTATCAGCATGGAGACAATCAATATACCGCAGGGGCAATCTTAATCAAGCTCGTGTTTGCCATCTATTAAATTCGTCGCTAAGATTAGACAATGTTTGGCATGCGCTTGGAAGTAATCACTTAATTATCATTTTGACATCCAAAAAGAGAATCCTTACAGGATTAAGCTTGTGGCAGTGCCAAATGCACGCACAATCTAGTGGTGGTAACAAGTAGCAGTTGAGCGAATGTGCACTATCAGGGCTGTCGATGAACTCATTGACCAAAGGCAACCACTGTTCGAAATATCTGCACCACATGAAAAACCCCTTCAGATACTGAGATGGCCCCTGAACATTAGCCACTGAATGGCTCTTGATTATGTAAGCTTGCAAAGCGGGACATCATAAAAGTTTCTCAAATTCAGATTAGTAATCACATGGGCTCGACTCACTATTAAACTTGTCGAATCAAAGTTCAAGTTAGCTTGGAGCTCCGAATCAAATAAATCAAACTGGCTCTGAACTGAGGGACCAAGGTGGCAATTCATCAAAGTCCGAATCCTGCTTTCGGGTCCGCAGAGCCAAAACTCTTCTCAACAATTCTGCGTTCTTGATAATCGTTTCAGAAGAGTACGCTATAATTCCAGTCGACAGGATTGTAAAGTTCTTGGTAAGTTCTAGCTTGGAAAAGGTTGGACATTGTAAAAGTGTGTGAAGGAACACGAAAAATTTAAAATTTAAGTTGTTTTGCAGGTGGGACACATTCCTGAGGGTCTTCAGTTATAATTGCGCTCACCAAACATTTCATTAACTCCAATCAGTCACTCATCTCTATAGAGAACATTCACTATAGATGCTGGGATTTGCTACCGACGATCGATATTATATTATTACAGACCAGAAACATCAACCTCCAACAACACCTTCTGTGGCTTCTTTAAGATAGAAAACTCCTCACGTTCTTAAGCATCAGGAAACAGGAACTTGACGGAGCACAATATGCTACCACAGCTAAATTCACAATCAGCAATTTTTTACTCGTTCCAAGTACGTGTGTATACACGTACTTGGAACAGGTTTACATGCATTGCGAGGCTCGTGAGTACGCATAGTTCCGTCATTACTGTAAAGTTTACTGTGCCGAAGAATGCGGGACTAGCTACATCAAATGCGTGCGTGGTGATCGTCTAAACTGCTTGATACCCTCGATTCACGGGAATCCCATAGCTTCAGACCCAGTCAAGGTATTGATGCTCATGACAGTCATACTGTGGAGGCAACACTGATAACACCAGGCCACTACGTAAAAACAGCACGAAATGTTCACGAACACGGAAAACGACACACGTGAATCGCATAGCTTCCGACCCAATCAAGGTATTGATGGTCATGATGGTCATCCTGTGGAGGCAACACCGATAACACTAAGCCACTACGTAAAAACAGCACGAAATGTGTTTTGGCTGTTCATGAACACGAAAAACGACACTGATATGTCGTGGCATGCATGTGACGCTGCGCACCTGTCAACTGCTCGTTCGAGGACTTCCGAATCCTGCAATGCTGGGGTACAATCTACCAGCTTTAGAAAGCGCAGCTCTGCTCTTGCCGAGTCAATGATGTCGAAGTCTCCGTTTATAGATTCGGCCCGCTGAGCATTTCGCCATTCAATCTCGGGCGTAACTTCCACAACCTTTTCGAAGAGCTCCTCACTAGTCATCATTATCGAAGCAGGCATGCTTCTGCAAAATCAATGAAATTATTAATTACCGGCAGCATGGTTGTTAAAGGAACACGAAATCCAGCACCAGGTCCCTTGTTCAGACCAAACGAACATACACATCACTCTATCAGCCTTTCATTAGCGCATAGATCAGCTGTCGCATCTACAGACGAGATATCAAAATCAAGCTGCGAGAAGGTTCACCAACTGTAAAAGATGAAATTAAAAGACGGAGGTACACAATTTGCTCTCAAACACATCCTCGCTGGGCAGACATCACAATGAACCCGAACTAAGGCAGCAAATATAGCTTCACCTGAGAAGAAAAACTCATTAGAAGTGGACGCTGGTTCACAGAATGTCCCCCACGAGACCTGTCAAACGAGGACCAGATGTTCGAAACACCACCGTTCTGTACTGATACGTGCACGGTGCTGCATCTCTTGGCCCGCATCAAAATGCCGTCACCATCTACAAAAGGCGGAGATTAAGAGTAATCTTCAATCCGTGTTGAGAGAAACCAAATCCTCTGGATGCCTTTCTCCTTTCCCAAATATCATGCACATCTATCTATCCATTCACACTTGGCTTGTCCTCAAGGTCGGTGTGCATGTAAACATTCGCCAGTCAACTCCTATCCATAATTCTTCGATCCACGCCGATGGACAACCCCGAGTCCACTACACTCCCCATGGTTCATGAATATATATATTCAGAACGAAGTGGAATAAACAGATGGACACACCATGCTTGAAATTCACCAAAGGCCGCTAGCTAGCTCGAGGACAAATCGATCGTAAGGCATAAAGCTAGAGAGTAGGAATCTTGCAAGGACGACTCACAATGATCGCGTCGTGGATGAGAAATCAAGAAGGGCGCCTCCTGACACCTCCTCTCGACTCGACATACACCCTTTTGAGCTGACTATACAAAATTTCTTGAGGATGACCTTCAGTTCCTGAAAAAGCTCTTCACCCTGCTGGTTTTCTACCAGCCAGGAACTTAAATCATGGATGAGCATGGGCTATCTCTGTTCACAGTTATTCGAACGGTTTTCCGGATGGCATTCACTCTTCCCATAGCCAGAGTCCTCTCGTGTTCCGAGAAGCTCCGTCTCGAGGTGGAAATCATGTCAAAAAGTCTTCCTCATGTTCATATGTACCGAGAGATTTATGCCCGGAATGTTATAAAGCCCGAGATTCACTCCAGCCAGCTTACTTGCTGGATCTAGATCCACTTGACTTTACCGCACACATGTAACTACACTCGGGTGAAATTACGTGATCCCATGACGTAGTACGTAAGCCTAGCGAGCCATAGGGCGAACTCCATCCACTGAGCTCAGCCTAAGAGTTTAGGAACCGCAAACCCTCGGTAATGTTGGGACCATCGCAAATCTGTTCCCATTGTGCTTGATACTAAGGATGAATCTAAGTAACGTGTCAACTGCCTGTCTCCCCCGTCACTCACTGCAAGTGGCTGTCTCCATTCTTCGGAAAGAGAACAGTTAGGAGCCAACGCGTTAGTAATTGAGGTTGACTCGGTGTGCTAGATCCATAGAGTGATGCGTCAGCCTCTTTCTTAAGTATCCATCTTCTGGTCGTCTCAAAGTCTAAGCTCAGCTTCATCTCAGCTGCTTGCCATACTCGCATTCATCCGAGCACTGATTTTATTACGGTAACACTGCAATCTTAGGAAGTCGAACCTACTGAAAGCTCAGTCAGACCCATGTAGACCTGGCTTCTCTCACAGTGACGACAGGATGCATAGTTGACCCAGTTCAACCTACGATTTCGGGACTCACGCGTCATCATCTTCAGATCATGGTCGATTGTTTCCTCCTACACTTTCAGCTTACTTGGTTGAGGTGTATGGGCCGCGAGGAGGTTTACACTGCCCATCCACTGGAAAGATACGAGACGATGGGAGTCCACGAGGTATAGATGTAAGTACGTACTATTCCTTCCACTTACAGGTCCTTTACAGAAGTCAGCTCCATGGAGCCTTGACGGAAGTCTTTTGTCCGTAGTACCTGCTCAACCTTCAAATCGGAAAGCTATTACTCCACGTACCAGAATTTGACTAAGTCCAACTTTCTTTATGGAGCTAGATTCTGTCGCTGTCCTCGGTGCTTGTAGTTGGACTCATAGTCCTGCAAATCTGCCTCGGACGAAGAGAATGTCAATGCAACGCGTGATGAGATAACATAACAGCGACGTATATTTGCCAGCTCACATCTGTCCAAGAAAGCCTAGAGTGATGAGAACTCCTGCTTACTACTACCGAAAGGCTCCACAATCACGTTCATACCGCGATCTCCTTGGCGAATGGGTTCATGCAACGAGACGATTGGATGATAAGTTTTATGCGCAGTTCAAAGGTCGGCCTACCGGCGAGAAATAATTGGATGGTTTCAACCATAAACAAAGAAAACTATTTGTGCCTCAGTCATAGTCCTTCAGTTCACTTTTAATCTGCTCCCTTGAGGATAACTCAGGTAATTTCTTATCCAGCGTTCCTTCTCGTTGGCCTTCGGGTTGACGTAGAGTTTGTGAAGTAAACTCATGTTCATTCAGAAAGGTACCGGTAGTTAACTACTGACCTGTGGGGCAAGTCAGATGTCAACGATTAACTGTAGTGGTCTTCGGATTGAACGATCCAGCAGCACTGTAACTGCATGCGTGGACGAAGCTTTGGTAGCTTTTTCTGCATCTTTTTTGTGAGCGATAGGGGAGATACCGTGTGGAACGATCACGACAATCTATTTACCTACGAGAGTGGAATAGCTGGAGGTACAATGATGTGACACTGGACCGAAAGTTTCAACTGATTTCATCATCTTAAAGAACAGTTGACTGCACTTCAAATAATTTTCCTGACAGTCATCCGTTGTCTCGGTCGTAGTACCAATACATCGAATTGGAATGGGCCTTTTCAAGCTTACACTGCTTCCAGACTCCAAACAGCTCAAAGCTGAGACGAGACTGCATCCAACAAACGCCCGGTGAAATACCCGGACGCTTAAGTTTGTAAACTTCACCACTAACTCAGAGCAGCATCTGCACATCAGTTGGCCTTAAAAGAACCTTAGAATCACAGTCGTGTATGCCTTCAGCGTTTGCCCAAGTTGCCCACTAAAACACAACTCTAAAGAGTATCATTTGTCCATGGCAGATATGCAGGTAAGCTGGTTTCCGATGCACGTTGCCAGGTGGAGAGCTGTTTGTAGATTCCCCTCTTGGTATCAAATGGATCCAAGTTTTTTAATTTTCGAAAACAGCTTGCTCTCTTTATTCTATTGCATTTGTGTAGATTTTTATCTTATTCTACTGGATTATAAAATTGTTTAGAGTAAAGTTCATCGGTCGATGGTTTAAGCATAATGCAAGCATTTGCTCTTACATCCATACCATCCCCTCCATCCAGGGTTTAAGCACAATTCAAATATTGACTCTAACAGTCTATTTATTCCATGTATAGATGGTTTGAACTTATTTCATACATTGGCTCTCAGATTTATTCTACCCCTTGCATTCATTGGAATCAGCTTGGTCGTCTAATGCTTTATGGACATAGAAACTTATAATTAGATTAGAATAATGCATAATTAAGGCTCCGTCTATCCTTGTTACCAAGTTTTGTAACAATCGATAGGTGTCTCTCTGAATTCTGCCAACGTTTTTTATTGCATAAACTTGTTGTCTACATCGATATGTCTAACTCTGACTTAATTTAGAACTATGTCCACTAGCCTACGTTGTTCTTTATGAAGTCAGCAGACCATGTGATATCTGTGTGTATTTGTCACAAATATTCGTTTTTCGATAATATTGTTCTACGGCTATCTACAGATAGGGCCCATTAGTCATTATCGAACTTTACTTATATCGTTTCGCATTAGTGATCAATATCAAAGTAGTAATTGTAGAAACTTGTGGATCACCAGTCAAACAAAACAGAATCCAATAGTAGCTCCTAAAAGTCCTAAAAGGACTTTTGGGGCACATCATTCATAATAAAACCTTACTTATAATGTACGCGAAGGTATATAAGTATATACTACTTATATACTTACATACCTTCGCGTTACTAATCAATATCAACGTAGTCAATGTAGAATTGTGTGGATCATCCGCTTAAAACAAAGACTTCCATTACATTATCCCATCAAGTCGTATACCGGTTCTGATGTAGCTAGGCCCCGATACTACAGTTCAAATTACAGGTATGTTTTATGCAATTAATATATGTTGAATATCCAAGTAAAACCTTCTACATAATATAATACACACGAGTATAAAAAAAAATGGTTACTTAACACAAATGCTCTCATATGGACTGTAGCACCTTGTAGTACACATACAAAAATGGATTCAAGTTTTCTTGAACTAACTATGAAAAATGCAAAGAAAATATACTTGTGAAATGTCTGGTTCGATTAAATTATCACAATCAAACTGTACAGAAAATAGCATAATAATATTTCCATATTCTGTATAACCCTACCTGATGCTATACAACATATGCAATGCTTTATGGTATACAAAATAAATAAAAGAAATCGACAACAAGAAGGTAGTGGAGTAGGCTTCATGGTTAACCGATGCATTCAAATCTCTAGGCCTTTCATAGAACCTTGACCTCTTCAGGAACCCTTAAGGGCTTGTCGAGTAGAGTGCCGGGAAATATCTCGTATTTGAGGCCAACGTGTTCTCCAATTGGTGGAGGCGCAGTAGATTGATCAAGGATTTTCTGCAGAAGCCTGACGACGCACAGATTTCAGGTCTGCGCGGACTCTCCTCCCTCAATTGTTGACAAGGAAGGCATGGAGGGCACAGTATGTCGATGGAATCATATGGAACTTCTGCAAGACGCAAAATGAGTGGTCGTGTGTTAGACAAGACGGAATCATGATCTATCTGTTCACAAGCAAAGTGTATGAGTATTCTGTAACTTCAGGCGCAGAACTAGCACACAATCGCGTGAAAGATGACTCATGAGCTCATCATCTGCACATGCAAATCGTTCCACTTGTATTAAGCTCAATCCAACCTCATGGACGTCATCATTATCATGTTCGTACCGTACGGGTCTTCCGGATCTACTAGTTGTCCCTGCACAGATGTGAGCAACTCCAGGTATCGGACATATATACTTCTATTAGAAGATTCTGTGTCCCAATATTGAAGACAGTAATATCAGGGCACAAGAGCAAAAGTCTAGAGCCAATATTTAAGCAGGAGGAATTTCAGCTGAAAGTTTTAGCTATCTAATTAATCTCTTTTCCAATTTTAAACATTTCCTGATAACTTGCAGCACATAGTACTCTGAGTATCTGCACATTGCGTTTCGAATTCGAAGGCTGTCTTTTCTTTCACGATAAAAGTCTGACCGAGAGCTAAATTTGCGATACAACTGAAAAGGCGAGCATCGTACTGAATTCCTCGACTTCTTGACCATATTAGATAATCATCTTGGGGCGAATCATTCGATGCATGCGATGATATTATAATTTCACTCATTTACTTGTCACAAGAACAAGTTTGTTAACAACAATAATCCGCGCATTGCAGAGAGCAAATGGATCTCATCAGCCAGCAGGCATTCTTAGACGGTATGATGGTCAGATAGTACCAAATATGCAAGTTAAATGCTTTACAAATACTTCTGAAACGAGTGGCTGGAAGCATCGAACCGAACTCAAAGAAAACAAATATAATTGGAGGTATTTGTCAACCAGTATCTCGAATCGTATCAGGTTTTTAATTTCGTTGTATCCCAAATTTGTTCTGTAATGAAAGAGGAAAACAAGTACCCATGCACGTTGCTAATTATGTATATGCTAAACGTATACCTTGAGACCAGGAATTGTTAATATACACGAACAACTTGTGAACGCTAACAGCATGCGCACGGTCACAACGACCAGAGATCGGAAAGAAGACGCTACTGTTATAAAAATTTTGCATGCAAGAAGCGACGAACCTACCCCTACACTCCCTGCACTGATCAAGACCTACAGGAGGAGGCTAAACACACTGTAAAATTCTGGTGTGGACCTACATTTGCAATATTATCGCACTCAGACTGAGTGTGTTATTAAAATATGAGGTGATTCCTGCTCACGTTTTGCATGAAGGTGCCATTGCAGAATCTGCTTGCATTTATCACATTCCCTTGGCTTGAAATTGTGCGTCTTAGCACAAAGCTGTTTCCAACAGGATT